CATGAACTTCCTTTGAAGTAAACACATTTAAACAGAGTAAAGCATTCATATACCAAATATTGTAACTTTTAAGGCATGTATGTTTAAATTAAACCATTAAATGTTGAACCAGTTTTTATTTACTCAAATTTTGGATCATGATCTCAAAAATGGGGGCTTTTTATTATTAGAATTTTACAAGTGCCATTTATAGTGGAGTCCTCTGAAGTAAAAAACAAACAGACAAAGAGATCTCTTGAATTTCATTTAAAATTTTGGCCATGTGTACTAATTTTAAGAGATGGTTATGAACCAATATTTGTGAAGACAGTGGGAAACTTTAATTGATAAAAATTTTAGGGTTTTTTTGTAATTCTTAGGTAAAACATGTCTTAAATTCGTACCTTTAAGAGTGTCCTTGGGGCCTCTCTGGTGCGCACGGTTGAGCGCTGGGCTTGCGAAGCTGCCCACAGCCTCTGCAGCGCCAGTTCGATCCCCAGCCAATGGGCTAGGATCCCCACATGGCGCGACAGACCTCTCCTGCCACCCGCTGCCCTCAGCAGTGTACTTCGTCGGTCTGCCTGTTCTGTTCCCCGCTCTGGCTCTGGTGAATTCTCTCACCCTCTGCGCTTCTGACTGTACCCAGTGCTTGTATAAATAAATAAATCTTAAAAAACAAAAACAAAAAACAAGAGTGACTCTTTGGCTTTAACTTAGGTTTAGTTTAAGTTTGACACATCCATTTAGCCAAGTTTTAATATCCTTTTATATCAAATGGTTTTTTAATGAGATAGAAGCTAAAATCTTTACATAGTGAAAGGTTTGGTGCAGTAAAGAGAAGGAGAGCCAGGCCAGTTTCTAACAGGCAGAACTTTATTGCGCTCCCGGGTGAGATTCGCTGACCCTCATGGGGTCAGAGAAGTCTCACCCATTGTAGGCAGAGATGTCCTTTTATAGGTGAAGAGAGGTTAGGAGGGAAACTGGGTTGGCAAGGCGGGAAACAGGTTAGGTGTAACAAAGTTGTTTTTTCATGGAGCTGAGTTGTTTTTCTCCTGTTTGGCTTCAGTTTCAGTTTGATGTATCAGTGGTACTGTTATAGAGCAACCCCGATATTAAACGGGTTCCTGGCTGTGGGTCCTCACCCGCGCGCTTTTAAGGGACTTATGAATACTCTACTACAGACACACACAAAGGGTTAATAAAAGGTTTATTTACAAGAGGAAAGGAAATAAGGAAAATGTACAACTCAGGGAGAAAATAGGGAAATAAAGTCTTTATGCGTCCTACCCGATCGACGACCTGGAACCCAAGTCACTCCCAGAGCTGGCCGGAGGCTCCGCGCTGGCCGACGCCCCAAAGGAGAGCGCCCCAAAGCCACGTGTCTGCCTTTTGTATCACCTGGCTGCTTAACCCACCCCTCAGGTCCCAGCCACCTTTCCTTTGGTGGGATGGGATTTGAGTTCCCAGTGTCTTTGGCTTTGACCTGGGGTGGGGTGGAGTCCACAAAGCCTGTATGGAATTAGCTTGGACCGCCTTTTCCCCCTAACAATTCCCCTTTCACTTTTGCCACCATTTCCATGGTGATGAAGATCAAATTATGGAGGTTGGGATGCAGTCTCAGAGGAACGTTTTGTCAGGTTCCAGTTGAAGAAAACCAGTCTCTCCAGGTATTTGTCATTGTGGAAAGCAAAAGTCCTCCACTCCAGGAAAAAATAGTTCATCAGTTTAAGCCAAAAAAATCTGGAGGCGTTAGCCAAACCAAGTCAGCAGATATGTAAAATTTCAGGAAAAAAAAAATCTTAAATTGGTTCAACTGATGAAAAACACAAATTTTCTCAACCTTGATCAAACTTTTAACAGCAAAGCAAAGTTTGCAACTAGATTCTACTTTTAAACCATTTTTCTATTTTTGCATAAAATCACAGAGTAGAAATAACTAACAGCAATTTTAGCTGCTTTGTTGAAATATTCCATACAGTCAGAGCGAACCGGTGGCATCCAGTCGATGTATGCTTCAGGTATAAAGTTGGTCTCATCAGACTCCACTGGGCTTTCCTCTTCTCGAGGTACCAGGGCATTTTCGTTGGCCGGGTTGTCCAGTCCTGCCAATGGAGGCAAGCTTCCTCACTTCTTTGGAGGTCTCTGGAACCCTACAAACAAGGCAAACAGGTTCTCCTCTTCTTGGTTCGCTTTTTTTTAACTTCTGGAAGAATCCACACAAAGCCACACAATCAAACTCATGTCCATTTTGTTAAAACAGACAAAATCCTATGGAAGTTATGCAAAAACAGACTCTGAAATAAGTAGCAAAAATTAACTACACTATTTGTATGCTGTGTTGGTATCAAGGGGAGAGAAAGTGACAAGTTAGCTTTGCTGGAAAAAAATTACAACCTTTCTGCAGATCCTGGTTAGTCAAAACAAAACAAAACAAAACAAAAATTTCGTGGATTCAGGACAGAATGCATAAAAAAAAGTCCAGTATTATGTCAAAGAAACCTTAGTAAATGTCAGGTGTATTTCCAGGTCTATTGAGTCCTTTGTAAGAAAGTTTTTACTCTCAACAGTTCCATCAATAGAATCTGTTGAGACCTTTTCTCCCTATTTTCCAGAAACAATTTCTGTAGATGTGAACAATTGAATTATACAATATTACAAGGTGACAATCACCACTGACAATTTACATACATACCAAATACTACTGTTAACATATTGGACATACCAAAGTTTTTTACCATTTTCCCAAGTGACAATGCTTCCCTTCCAGTTTTACTTCATTAGGTAAAAGCCAATAGAACAATTCATGTAATGCTTTCCCAGGAGGAAAAGGAGAAACTTCGTGGAGTCTCAGGGCTCTACTGAGGTTCCACAAAATTTCCTTGCATCATCAAATGACAGGCCACCAAAATTGTACTTGAATTTAGATTTCTGGAAGCTTTGCCATAAATTCAGAAAAGTAACAGAAACAACAATATTCAATCTCTATGAAGCACCGGCTTAGTTCAGTAGCACAATGTTGACAATCAAACCATAACTTCTTGTTTTTCTCATAACTGGAGACTCTCTTTTTTTTTTTTTTCTCAACTTATACGGGCACCATAATACCAATTTGTCGATCACTGGAGGTCAAGACGGTTAGACACAAGGACATACAGACAGACAACATACAGACACAAAGAGCTCTTTAGTTACCATTCATCACGCCTGTATGGAATTAGCTTTGGGACCGCCTTTCCCCCTAACAGTACTGGTGTCAGGGCCATCTTGTTTTTGTTTTTGTGGGCTTCCTCATTCCTGGCCCTGCATTGACCTTTCATACCAGCCTTTTGTTGCCAGGAAAAGGGTTGACGGTTCTTTCTCTGGCTACTTCCTGCTGGAAGGGGGCGAAGACCAAGGTGGGGGCTCAGGCTTGGTTATGAGGGTCTTCTGCAGGGATGAGCGAATATGGGTGGAGAAGTTGTTGGTTAAAGATGGTACAGGACATTTCCTGTATGGGGCCTGTATGAACTTTAGGAGGCAAGGAGCAAAAAGAAAAAAATAAGGTTATCATTAATATTAGCCCCAAGAGTGGGAGGAGCCATAGACTATAGGAATTGGAAACCATGTCAGCGGAGAGTTGGAGCCCCCTCTTTCCCTTTCCATGTCTTTGTGTAGTTTCATTAAGGCTTCCACATTTTGTTCTATAATCCCTTACTCATTGATATAGTAACAACATTCTTCCCTGAGGAACAGGCAGGTACCCCCCCTTATTAGCTGTAAACAGGTCCAGAGCTCGCTGGTTTTGGAGAGTGACCTGTGCCAGGGAGGTGAGCTGTCTTTGTAATCATGCTAAGACATAGAGGTTTTTTCTAAGATATCTACTTGTCCATAAAAATCCTGGGCAGAAATAAGGTGGTGTCCCAGGGTCCCACCTGCACACCTGTGGCCACAATCGATAACACCAGGCTTGTTCCAACCATGACTGGAAGAAAGGCCACCTGCTTAGCCTGGTGTGGTGAGAATAACCACCCTAGTTCAGACCGTCCATACAGAGTTAACTGTGGGACCACCAGGACTTAGATACATGGGCCTGAGTGGAAGAATTAATACACTGAGAGAGAGAGAGCCATTGCACCAGAAAAAGGTTCCCCTTGTTGTTTGAAGCACAGAAGTAACTGAAATGTTAGAATTGCAGG